ATGATGCTCCAAAGGGCCATGGCAGACCTCGATGATCAGGACGGTATCTACATTCGATACCGTACTGATGGAAGCCTATTCAACCTAAGGCAAATGAAGGTCTACACTAAGACCCTAAACCATCTTGTCTGGGAGCTGCTTTATGCTGATGACGTCGCCCTTGTCGCCCACACAGAAGCAGCTCTGCAGCGTTTAACATCCTTCTTTGCTGAGGCTGCTGAGCTCTTTGGGCTGGAAGTCAGTTTAAAGAAGACAGAAGTCCTCTATCAATCTGCACCTCAGGAAGTCTTCCATCATCCTGTCATAGGTTGAGATTGGCCCCCCCTGAGAAGTTGGGGGGCTCAGAGGTGATTGGGTGCCAGGGCGGTGTTCCCTGGAGAGCCAATCACCATTCATGTTGTTCGCTTCTGCTCAAAATCATATATCACAGCACCGGAAACGGTTGGCAGTGTAGTCTTGGTTGTTTTGCTGTTGGTGTCTGCTGCGTGTAGGTGGACAAGGCCAGGGGGTGGCTGGGCTCCCTCTCTTCCCCTCTGGGGGAGAGAGGGGAGCCCTGCGACCCCCCAACTCAGCCTTTAGCTAGAGTTAGAGTCAGCATTTGGAGTGTGTGCTGTGAAGGAAGAGATTCACAGCACCGGAGGTAAGAGGAGAGAGGCAGGCTTTGCAGCCAAACCCTCTTCCCCCTCCTTTTCTGCAGTGAAGTTGCAGAGGGGGGTTTTTTCCTTTCCCTCCACTGTAAGTGGAGGAGAGGCTCAGCACGGAAGTTGAGCCAAGTGGACGGGCCGTGGAGGTAGGCCCGGGGCTTGGGAGAAGAGTCCCAGGTGAAATTGGAGACGAGCCAAGAGCTCGAGAGTTGCCTGCCGAAGCTGACCGGAGGCAGCTGAGAACTGATGTGGAGGAATGAAGATTCCAGGATGTGGACGCTTGATAAGCTACACTGCAGCAGCCTACGAACCGAGGTGAGACACCGAGAGGGAGAAGTCACCAGCAACAGAAGAGCAGTGACTCAAAGCTATCGTCTTGGACTTTGTGAGGAGAGACTGCAACAAAACAACTGGAACTTGGTGAGAGGGGGAGTGTTCAGGAGCCCAGGACACTCCCACAGCAAAAGACTGTGTTACATGTCAGCCTTAAAGGCTGCTCCTGGACTAAAGTTAAAGGAGAGGCTTGAAAGGACTGACTGATAGTAATGTAATATATATATACAGTTGCCTTTAGTTTGTATAGTATTTATTTGTGTAAATAAATGTATATACTTCCCCCTTCCCCTACAGAAGCCTCTGGTCTGAAAGTTTCTCTCCGGTGTTAGGATAAATTGTGGGAAGGGGTGGGGGAAGTCTAAACAATGGATTTTAGATTTCTAATGTGGCTCAAACTGTCACAATCCCCATATCACCATTGGCCAATCAGAGCTCAAATCAGTCCAGTAGTTTAATTACCTAGGTAGCCTCATCTCCTCAGATAGTAAGATTGACGGAGAGATAGACAACAGGTTAACAAAGGCATATAGTGCTTTCGGAAAGCTTCATAAAAGAGTTTGGCGAAATAAACATCTGAAGAAAAGTACAAAGATCAGTGTTTACAGAGCCATAGTGCTGTCTACTCTTTTATATGGATCCGAATCATGGGTCATCTACCACCACCACGTGCGACTCCTAAAAGGCTTCCATCAACGCTGCCTCTGTACAATCCTAAACATCCACTGGTCAGATTATGTGACTAATACATCTGTTCTAGAACAAGCAGCAATCACAAGTATTGAGGTCATGTTGCTGAGAACACAGTTGCGTTGGGCAGGGTACGTCTCAAGGATGAAGGACCACCACCTCCCTAAGATCATGCTTTATGCTGAACTTGCCACCGGCTGCCGCATGAGAGGAGCCCCGAAGAGAAGATACAAGGACTCCCTGAAACAACATCTGAACCTTGGCCATATCGATCAACATAACTGGTCTACTCTGGCCTCAAATCGGGAGGCCTGGAGACACACCATCTATAATGCTGCTGATGCCTTTGAGAACACATGCAGGATCACTCTCAAGGAGAAAAGACAACGCAGAAAGAATCATGTCTTGAAGAATATACCACCTAAGGAGTCTTTCTGCTGTGCCTTTTGCAATCGGACATGTCTATCTTGTATTGGCCTTATTAGCCACCAGTGTGCTTGTAACAAATGTGGATAGAGTCTTTCCCAAATCTTTGTTCACGAAGACTAGCCATGATTGTGCCTAGGAACATTTTGATAACAGTCATGGCGATGTGCCTGGGCTGGCAAATGGCCAGGGCATTGCTGCTGTTCCTGTGCTGCTGTACTGGACAGGCTGGAACTTCAGTGTGAACTTGAGTCGAAGGGACTGTGACCTGAGGATGAGTACACGCAGGAGTAGAGATCCACCTGCCACCTGTGGAGGAGCCTCACACTGGAGCATGTGGATACCCAAAGGAGGCTGTGATTCCCATGAGAAGCCAGCACTGGAGCAGGCTCCTGGCAGGACCTGTGGAGAGAAGAGCCCGTACTGGAGCAGGTTTGCTGGCAAGATTTGTGAACCCATGACGGACCCACACTGGAGCAGTTTGTGAAGAACTGCAGCCCATGGGAAGGACCCACATTGGAGAAGTTCAAAGAGGACTGTCTCCTGTGGGAGGGACCCCACGCTGGAGCAGGGGAAGCAGAGATTCCCTTGCAGCTCATGGTGAGGCAGCCGTGCCCCTGCAGCCATGGAGGACTATGATGTGACTATACTAATGGGGGATTCTAGCAGGAACCCCTTGTTGCAGCCAGGGGAGGAGTTCAATGTAATGTTGAACCCTATAACCCATCCTAAAAAGACCAGGGGTGGAGATTGTAATGGATATACCTTTAAATTGTTGTCAGCCACAATTTGAGTTGTATGTTACAGGAATTACTATAACAGGAACCACCCAAACCAATGGAGGAGAAGCCTTACAAGCAGCATTGCAAGTACAGCAGTGACCCAACCTGAGCTGGATGTGGTGCCCACTAACTCCAAGCAACACACCACCTCTCCTGTCCTGAGTGACCACCAGAACACATGGAGCCCAAAGTCATGGACTAAATGAACTCAAAGGACATTTTGTGGACATTTTTCAAGGATGGTCCATAGACTAAGGGAATGATATCTGTGTATTATATCAAGGAATGGAAATGGGGGGGGTGGTTAATGAAGTTGTATTGGATAGTGTAAAACCTGCACACGATGTAAATGGTATGGAATAAGGGGTGGAATGTGCTGGTTTGGGCTGGGATAGAGTTAATTTTCTTCACAGGAGCTAGTATGTACTAGTATGTTTTGGATTTGTGCAGGAAACAATGTCAATAACATAGAAATGTTTTTGTTATTGCTGAGTAGAGGTTGCATGACATCAAGGCCTTTTCTGCTTCTTGTACTGCCATGCTGGGGAGGGGACTGGGGGTGCATGGGAGGTTGGGAGGAGACACAGATAGGTCTTTATATACTGAGCATGATGCCATATGGTCTGGAATATCCCTTTGGTCAGTTGGGGTCACCTGTCCCAGTTGTGTCTCCTCCCAGCCTCCCATGCACCCCCAGCCCCCTCCTCAGCATGGCAGTACAGAAAGCAGAAAAGGCCTTGGCTCTGTGCAAGCCCTGCTCAGCAATAACAAAAACATCTCTATATTATCAACCCCGTGTTCAGCACAAATCCAAAACACAGCCCCATACCAGCCACTGGGAAGAAAATTAACTCTACCCCAGCCAAAACCAGGGCATCAGTATATAAAAACAGGGGAAGAAGGAGGAAAGTGGGGGACGTGGAGTTATGGCATTTGTCTTCCCAAGTCACCATTGCACATGATGGGGCCCTGCTCTCCTGGAGATGGTTGAACACCTGCCTGCCCATGGGAAGTAGCAAATGAATTCTTTGTTTTGCTTTGCTTGTGTGCATGGCTTTTGCTTTTCCTAATTAACTGTCTTTATCTCAACCCATGACTTTTCTAACTTGTACCCTTCTGATTCTCTCCCTGATCCCATTGATAGGGGAGTGAGCGAGCAGCTGTGTGGAGTTTGGCTACTGGCTAGGATTAAATCACAACACTTACTCAAATTTCTGCTCTTATTCACAAAGACAATAACTGGCATGAAGTGTCCCCAAAGTAATTTTGGAACTCGCTACAAGTCTGAGAAAATGAAATATCAGACTCCTGTCTCAGAGCTGTACAGCCACCAACTGTAGCATTAGTGATCCAAGATGATCCTCAAGACTGCTTTTGGTATCCACAAAGCAATCCTTCCTCCCTCCTTTACAAGGAAGAGGATAAATACCAGGTTTCAGACCACCATCATTTTCATCCTTTTAAAAGGTTATATTTTGAAAGTACTTCAGGAAGAAAATAAATAAATTAAATGTTAAAAAAACAACAACAACAAAAAAACACCCCCTCCACAAAAAAACCAAAAGACAATTCTTTCACTCCAGGTCAAGTGTAAGCACTTTTCCTCCCCTGAATGACACAGCATGTGTGTTTCTTTAATCTGTGATTGCTTCTATTCCTTGAAAAGCTTGCATTTCCCATTATTTCCAGCAAACATATAAGCAAGCCAAGGAACAAATCTAGTAGATATTTAATTCAAAACCTAAGACCAGTTCAGAATCTTATATATCTCAGTTGGATAAGACAAAACGCTGGACTGTACAAAGATTTCATTTCATATGCTTAGCTCAATAGTGTGCAACTATGAACAAGTACCAAAAAGCTGAAAGAAAAGTCACCAGAATTGGTCTAAAAATATCGGATATGGGGGAACTTGCAGAGTAATAATCTGAGGTTCAGAACTGCCAACATGAAGACCTGTTTAATTGATCAATTTGCAACATAAATGAAGAGGAACTACCACACATGATCTACACATCTCTCCCATTAAATGAACCTAAAACCACAGGACATTTTAGAAGCAACATCTGCCTCTACACCTCCACATCTCCCCAGCAACCCCAATTCTAATCCACTGCATGTTTACCATAGTTGCTGTGCTTTGAGATGATTCTTCTTCTGTACAAACTGTTGATGCAGCCAGGGAAGGCAGCCTGGATGAAGAGGATAATGTTGATGTCTCCATGCCACTGTCCTCATTTACAGCAGAAAGACCAACCAGATGGTGTCCATTCAATTCATTGGCTTCATTCTGAGTGCAGGTCTGCAAAGAACTGAGCAAAGCACCATTGCAGAGACAGGTAGTGTTGTGGAAAGTGCTCATGAGCTTTGATGATTTTTGATCACTCTCATCAGAGTCAAGTTTAGGAAAGGACAGGGATTTGATGTTGCTCACTGAAGTGATAGGGGACAGGGACACTTTGGTAGACAAGGACATCTTTTCACAGTTTCCCAACTGTGGTAAAGTGATAAAGCCATTGGGTTTGTGAAGGGGTTTGAAGTCCAGCGTAGTCCTTTCTATGGATGTCAGAACTTTCTCATCTTGCAACACAGACTCTCCTTTGGGCAAAGTATTATCTAATAGCTGGGCAACAATTGGCCCAGTAGTACCAACATGAATTTCAAGAATATTTTTTAATTCCTCCTTATCATTGATAGTTTTTAATTCCAGTTTGTCAAAAGGGTCTTCTTCACATTCAAAATCAGCTGGGTTGAAGTCTGCTTTTGGATGAGGTGGACTGAGAACCTTTTTTTTCACAGCACTGCTGTTGGCTGGTGTGGGAGTAAGAATATTATTGTGCTGCAGGCTAGCAAGGATGGGGTTAATAGGAAGAGGCATGACTTTAGGGCAAGGTCCCTCTGAGAACGCCAATTTGGTGATGTCCTCTGGAGCCGCTTTTGAGTTTGCTAGCACTTCTTCTGCCTTGTGTTCAGCTTCTCTCTGGGCAGCTTCAATTTTTTTGATATCTTCAGCCCACTCGATTGTTTTCTTTTCCAGTGAGAAGTCATACTGGCCGGGGGTGAAGGGGAAAGGAAAGGAGAAAAAAGATAAATTATAAGGATCATAGTCACTACTTCTAAGAGCAACATAAGTAACATAGAATAAGAGCTACATGAACTACCATGTGTAGTGGGTTTCTGTGGCTGGGTTTTGGGAGCAGGGGGGGGCTACAGGGGTGGCTTCTGTTAGAAGCTGCTAGAAGCTTCCCCTGTGTGGTGGAGCCAATGCCAGTCGGCTCCAGGATGGACTTCCTGCCGCTGGCCAAGGCTGAGCCAATCAAGAGTGATAGTAACACCTCTGTGATAACATATTTCAGAACAGAAAGGTATTGTGCTGAAAGAATTCCAGCCAGGGAAGAGCGGAGTGAGAACATGGGAACAACAAAGTAGACACCAAGGTCAGTGCAGAAGGAGGGGGAGGAGTGCTCCAGGCACTAGAGCTGTGGCCCCTGTGGCCCGTGGTGCAGACCATGGTGGAGCAGCTGTCCCCCTGCAGCCCATGGAGGACCATCGGGGTGCAGAGACCCACCTGCAGCCCATGGAGGAGCCCATGCTGGAGCAGGTGCATGCATGAAGGAGGCTGTGACCCTGTGAGAGGCCCAAGATGGAGCAGGGTCCTGCCGGAGACCTGCAGCCCATGGAGAGGGAAGCCCACACTGGAGCAGGTTTTTCCCGGGTAGGACTTGTGGCCCCTGTGGGGGACCCACATCGGTACAGCTCATTCGTGAAGGACTGCACCCCATGGAGGAGTGACCCACGGGACAGCAGTTTGGGAAGAACTGCTGCCCGAGGGATGGACTCACACCGGAGAGGTCCATCAAGGACTGTCTCCCATGGGAGGGACCCCACAGGAGCAGGGGAAGGACTCCAACTCCTCTCTCTGAGCAGCGGCAGAAACAACAACTGACCATAACCCCCATTCCCCATCCCCCTGCACTGCTGGGGGGGAGGAGGGAGAACATGGAAGGAAGGAGGGGTGGGGGGAAGGTGTTTTTAAGACAGTTTTCTCTCTCACTCTTCGGCTCTGATTCTGTTAGTAATAAATTTAAGTACTATCTCCACTTTGAGTGGTAATCAGTAAGTGACCTCTCCCAGTTCTTATCTCAACTCATGAATCCTTAGCTGTTTTTTTTTCTCTCCTCTGTCCAGTTGCAGAGAGAGAGTGGCTTTAGTGGGTACCTGGCATCTGGCCAGGCTCAACCCACTACACCATGGACAGGCATCAATTTTTCCCAGCATATCTTGTCTGTAGGTTTACAGACTGGCAAAACCAAAAGACCTCAGAAGTAGTTCCTTTAGTCTCTAGCACCAAACTCTGTCTATAGTCTGGATTAGAATATCATATTCTGCCTCCTTCCTACATTTAGTTTTGCTATAGAGCTACTGATCATCCCAAGATCAGTTTCACAGCCCTCCCACCTTCTCCCCCCAAGACAACAGATATAGCAAGGGCAAGTCTACTAGATAGACAATCATACCCAGATTTGGCACCACCGAACTACCTCCTGTCCACAAGTTCCACAAGTCATTCAAGACTACAGCAGAGTATTTTTACATCCAAAGAACAATACAATATTACTCAGTTCCCCCTAAAATATTTCTAAGGGACTTGATATTATAGTTTTATACCCACTAGTTTAAGAGGTATTCTTACTCCAGTGCCAGTGGTTCACCAGTCAAAGGGGATATACTGGCTACAGTGATGATGACAACTACCTGCAGTAGCAAAATTTGCTGCAGTTACTGGCATGACAGGATCTCACAAACTTTTCTCGTTTAACATCAGCTCCTTCAGGGACAGGTTAGCACAGGAAGCCATTTGTAAGCTACTCACTACCAGTTTACTGGTCACAGTAGTGGCCTGGTTGAGAGGACAAAATTCTGAACAGACAAAATCTACTTAAAGCTTTAATATCTTAATAAGAATGAACAGCCTCAAATGCTCTTTAAATAACCACAAAATGTTCAGAGAACACAGGCTACAAGCTAAGTCCAAGGCATAACCTACCTGTGATTCACAAGAAGTCATAAAATACCCTTGCCAGGATAATGGCACATAACCGGAGTGCTCTTACCATGGGACTGCTAGGTCATACAAATTCCTATCTCTAAAGAGCAACAAACCAGCAAGGCTTGCTAGGCCTCTACTAAACTTTTCTGGGACTCACTATGTGTTGTGTCACATCCTATCCTATAGCAGGCTCCAGTGGGATCATAGAGACCTGTTGTCTCAACTGCATAAAAGTTTTCCATTCCCTTAGCTCTAAGACTCCAAGAGGTGTGTTACTCAATTTATCAGCAAGGCAATTTTGAAAACCAAATCACTGGCAGAAGTGCTGAGCACTACTCGTTACACATTCTTTGCTGTCTGAGCAGAGCTATCAGGGTTTTTGTGTATGTGTGTGTGTGTATATGGTTATATATATAGACCAAAACTGACCAAATACTTTTTTTATATTAAAAAAGGGGGGTATTTATATAAAAATATATGGCTTTGGGTAATTTTGCTTCCCTGCACTTTTATTTTTTTAACAGCTCTCACTACAGCTGTAAAAAATGTCAAATTGCACTGCAAGATGCATACTCTACATAGTCACATCCTATTATGCAGGGTGCTGCAGTCCAATTGGGCATACTATACGTGAGCCTCAGCTTGGCAGGAAAATAGAGACTTAGCACAATGAAGCCAGCAATAGGACATTAGTCTCCTTTAGCTCTTCCACACCACCTTAACTGGGTGGAAATATGTGTATTAGGACAATCAGGTAATCATTTAATGGTTATAATGAAAAAGCCATGATGTAGGGTAATTGAGATAGTCAGCTCTCCAGTGGACGAGTTGCAGGGCAGGAAAAAAAAGATAAAAAAAGAATCATCTGTCACAACTGAAATTAAAATAATCATCAGTTTGGACTGACCAAGGAAAATCACGGACCCAAACAAGAAAACATAGTTCAATTAGACTTCTTGCATCACAACCTGCATTTGGAGATTAGATTTTCAACATATACACTAAAGCAATTGATTTTATACTACTATGAGGTTTTTTTATAAGAGACATGCTCCTCAAAGACCCGGAAGCCATCCATGTACCAAGCTGTAACCTGTTTGCCCTACAGCTGGAAAAGAATTCCCACTCAGAACTGCACAGAAAACAAGAACTGAAAATTTATTTCTTCCTCTCACTATTGTGAGAACACATAAAATATGGTCATAGAAACATTTGTTACCCTCAAACAAGATTCTGCAAGCATGCCATAGCATGGGTATATCAGTTCTTAGCATTTTTCCTCTTAAAAATGCTACTCAGTCAGGGTAATATTTAGACCTATAACTACTACAACAAAAACGCTCTGCTTTTTTGAAATAGATACACTAAAATAAATATTATTAAGTTTTTTAAAAAGTAGAAGCTTTTTGTACAGCCTATCATATTTTTATCTTTCAATACAGTCTAACAGATCTTCTGCAACTACTGCCTGGCATACAAAACGACACTATGGGACCGTCAAAAATAACATTGAATATGCGTGCAAACTGTGACTACTTGCAGTTTATAGCACTGCATGTTGGGGGCCAGGGGGAAGAGAGCAGAAAGGCAAAACACATCACTTACCTGGGCTTCTCTGACAAGCTTAGAAGAATCAGGAAGGCTGAAATCAATGGGTAATCCAACCTCTGCTGGGGTTTTAAATTTGTCTCCTATCTTAAATGGGACATCATCAAGATAACTGAAAGGACCTAAGATCAAAAGCAGAAATTGTATAAAGAAACAAGTTTAATGCATTCGATTAAGACTCACATTTCTGTATTTGGGAGCTATTTATCTCTGTTGCTGTCCTAGTTAGAACAGGTGCGACCAATTCATCACTGGATGGGTGTAGCCCAAAACTGTGTATTCTATAGCCTTCCATGCCATTTCCCAGAAACTGTTATCAGTAGAGGCCTGCGAAATAGAAAGATGTTCCTGTCCTCATACCCTTTTATGGAATTCCCCGCTCTGAGGGAAGGACTGAGCATCCTTTTATGGAATTCCCTGCTCTGAGGGAAGGACTGAGCATTCCTGCCTGAACTGGAGAATATATAAACTTGGAGTTTCGGAACCTTTTTACCGCTCGTGGGATCCAGAGGAAGACTGCAGCTCACCACTCTCAACCAGACTGAGACCACCACCCTCAACTGGACTGCAATTACTACTTTTGACCAGACTGCAACAGCTCTCCCACCAGCAGGTTTTTCCCCTCTCCCTTTACTTTGGATTCAGGGGGGGCCCAAAAAACACCACTTTGTTCATGCCCCAGGGTGCTGGGTTATACATTTGGGTTTTGTGGGTTAAGACCAATTGTTTGTCTGTATAATCGTACTTATTGTACTATTTTATTAAATTGTTATTGTGACTTATAATCTCTCTTTTGAGTTGAGTTCATTTCCCCTGCTGGTTAACTTTTAAACCAGTACAGCTGCCCAAACTATACCAGGTGACTCAATACAAAGGAAGTTGAATGTATTTGGACTTCATTGCCTCAGTTTTGGTTTGTTTGTAATGTTCTAGCTCTTACTAAAGAAAACCCAAACACACAACAGTCCAACAACTAACAGATTTTCAAGTCAATATACCAAATGTTTTAGCTTCCCTTGTGTCAAGACTATCCCTATACAACTGGAAAATGAAGCTCTCCTGAACACTGTATTTTGTTATGTCTCTAAAAAGATCCTTCTTTTTTGTCATATTCAAAACAGGCTTTAAAAATCCCAGCTTTAGAGCAGCTAAGCTAAATTAAAATCCAAGTTTTGGCATACAAGTAGGAAGTAACATTTGTACGGAAGTGGTCACAAGGGCAAAGTTGCAGTTACACCTTTTGCCTTATAAGGAATGTTTTCTGTTTGTGATTGGCTATAAAAGGACTGCGACTCTTTGAAAACAAGTCTCAGTTCCTCATCCCCTTTGCTGAGTCCATGCCTCTTAATGCACTGCAAATGGCGCCCACAGTGACAGAAATAAAGCTGTTTCTCTGGCAGTGCAGCTCGGCTGAACGTTACAGGAATTTTCGCTGAAAGGAAGTGACGAAAATAGAGCTCTTAATTACCCTTCACTGGACGTTAAGGTAAGCAGCCGAGAACGAATCGGGAACTCCATTAACTGAACAGCAAAAGACAGTCTCGCAAGCCTTTGCTACATTCCTTAAAAAATAGGGGAGGATGGTAGAAGAAGAAAATTTAGAACGTGTCCTTTTGTGGGCATCCAAAGCTGTTCCCACATTAAATATTACCTCAATATATGACCCGAGAGTTTGGGACGATATCGGTTACAAACTATGGGACAGTGCCACGCTAGGCAATAAAATGGCTACTTCTCTATTAACATCACGGAGAGCAGTTTTCAAGGTTTTGCAGGCTCATGCCAGCTCCGGAGAAGACCGCGCAGAAACGGCAGGTGATTCCGAGCCGCCAGGGCAGCACGAGCTGAAGCCTTGTGTGCTACCGCCACCCCATGCCCCGCCGCTGCCGCCATCTCCTGTGTTGCCGGGGTTGATGCCTTCCGCGTCGCCACTGCCGCCGCCACTGCCACCGTCATTCGCCTGTGGCGTGACCAGGAACAAAGACCTCACCACTGCCCCATCCCCGCAAACTTTGCTTACACAGTGTCGCCGCCGCAGCGTCGGTTTCTCTGTCGGACGACTCTGAAGAGGATCCAGAATTTACAGATAAGGAAAAGGATTTAAACTTATACTGTCCTAACTTTCAGAACACATGGGCACGAGTACGGGGGGGGCGGGGCGCGCGGAGGACACAGCAGCTTTAAAAGTTTCTCCGGGTCTGTTTTCGCCTGACCGGGATCTGTGCGGGGAGGGCACGCGGCCGTTGCCGGGCTCGGGGTCGCTCCTGTGCGGAGGACAGCCTGATGGCGGAGGAGGAATAGGAGAACTCAGCTCCCCGGGGGCCCCAGTCGAGCTGCAGCGGCTCTGGAGCGGTGGGACGGGACGGCTGACAGAGGGACGGGCGGTTGTAGATTCCGCTGCCGCTCCGGCCCGAGGAGGAGAGGATGGTCCGAGAGAGCGCCGGGGACGCGCGCCTGCCCGAGCCGAGACTGCTGGCGGGGTCAGGGCTGTCGGTGCTGAGGCGGGTGGTGTGTACGCTAAGCGCGTTATCGGCACTGGTTGCGCTCTGATTCATGCTGCGGGCGTTCCGGTTGGGGGGTTGTGAACTGCTCGCCAGCACAGCCAGCAATACAGACTTAACGCTGAGGGACACGGAGGTCGCGCAGCTACCGGTTGCTACATGTGGCCCCTTGAGTCACAAAAAAGCAGCTTTACTAATCGGCAGGTCATCCGTTACTTTAAAAGGTCTTACTGTGTTGCTGGGGGTGATAGATGCAGATTTTGGGGGGGGGGGCCGTACCAAGTGTTTACCCCTCACGATTTCAAAACACTATTTCGCTTAATAATGACCGATATGCAGTACACAATGTGGGAATCCAAACTGAAGCAGCTAGCAGAGAAAAAAATGATTGCAAATTCGGCTGCGGGGGCACGTAACCTTTTATAAACGGTTACTGCAGATGTTTTGATGGGGCAGGGTAAACATGCTTCTCACACGGTGCAAGCCCAGACATGTCCCGCCAGGCTGCAGCAAATAACACAAATAGCCGTGCACGCCTCTAAATCCATTCCGGAGACAAGCACGCATTTTACCCATATTAAACAGCAGGCACGGGAGGCAAAAACAGAAATATCTAACATTGTTAACAGTGGAGCAGACGTAACGGTCACATCTGCCTCACAATGGCCCAAACAATGGCCCTTAAGGAACACTCATGCCTGTTTAGCAAGTATTCCTGGGCTGACCTCCCCGAAGCAAAGCAAGGACATCGTGGTCATACATAGCTCAGACAATAAGCCTGTTTCCATTAGTCCTACCGGGATCACTGACTCTGTGTGGGAGGGACTGCTTGAGTCAATAGGGGAATCAGTCCACAACGGATTTTTCCTAAGAGTCACTCTGTTGCAGTAAATCCCACAGGTAACCTGGGAAACAAATGACCCTGTGTGGGTAGATCAATGGCCCCTCCCTAAAACAAAGCTACTATGTTTACACCTGTGATAAACACAGACAATAATTCCTGTCGATAAAAAAGACATGGGAAACAAATGGGTTAGTGTAACCTCAGGAAAGAAGAAAAACAAACAGATTGTAAAACTTAATTGCACCCTCATAAAGACATAAAACAGATTATTACCCTCCCTATTACCCTGGACATGAGGTATATCCGAACTAAGTCGAATCAACAGAATGCTGGCGCCTCTTTGTTGAGAAATGTATGGATTTATAACTTGTTGTAGAGATAACAAATTAGTCTTGGCTGTAAAAGAAAACATGTATTGAATACCTGGAATAGCGATGTAAAATGTATATGCATGTATGTAATGAATATGTATGAGATGTCTGAAATAAGTACTGACCTCGTATCTCATATGGGGTGGCAGATTTAGGAGCCAGATTCCGTCTGTCACCCAGCACTGCTTGCTTCTACTATATAATAAACTCTAATTTGGGAAAATTATTTTATTTCGAGACTCTCTTTCTCACACACCCCTTAGTGGAGGAACAACTACAAGCAGCCTCTCAGTCAGAAGAGAGTCTTTTGTTAAACTGCCAGTTTCTCGGGGCTGGGGGGGAGGTGGATTCTGTTATCTTCTACCGCTGTCTCAGGGTGGGGGAAGAGTAAAACTTTCAAAAACCAGGACTTTACAACTTTCTGGTTTGTGATAAATAAATAATTGTGATTTGTGAAAGAAATGGGTGATTACATCAAAATAAAAAAACTGGATTGTAAAACTTAATTACACCCCATAAAGAAATAAAACAGACCCTTACAAGGTCAAGAGGCCCTAAACCTCCCTACTATCCCAAAAATAAAATATGGTTTTTTTTAGGCGCCTGTTCGTCCAAGAATGCATGAATTATGACCGGTTGTAGAGATAACCCTTTTAGCTTTAGCTGTAAGAAAACCCATATATTAAATACTTAGCAAAAATCTGTAGAATGCATATGTATATTATATAATTAATATGCATGAAGTAGCTAAGATAAATACTAAATGTACCCTGTAGTAGGTGTGTGCAGATATGGGAAAATGGTCCCATTTCTGTCACCCAGCCAGCTGCTTGCTTTTACCATATAAATAAACTATTATTCAAAAACTTATAGAAACTCAAGACTTTGTTTATCACATGGTTGGAGAAAAAAGTGGTTTTGCCTTGCAGTCTGTGGGGGAGGGCACACAAAAAATCCAAACCCCTCTCCTCCCTTGCTTTTCATCTCCCTGCCTACAGGCTATGGGGGAAGGGAAACAAAACACAGCAAACTGAAACCTTATCAGCTGCTTGCTTGCACCACTGTGGGGGAAGGATGTTTTCTGCTTTAGGATAGCTGTAGATCTAAAGCACTTAAAACTGTCTTTACACTGTCACCCTCTGAGATCAATCATTGTATAAATTTATATTGCTATTAATCGGAAATGTTTGTCTCCACGGAGCCAGGGCACTGGACGCATGCCTGAGCAAGCAATGACAAGCTGCTTTCAATGAAAATGGAAAGAACTGTCATCTGATTCCTGCGATGTCTACAGATAGGAATTCCTAGAAATGAAATTAACTCCGAAAATGAGGAACCACGATGAACAGTGAAATCAGATAGGGCAGAGACAGAGTCTGTGGAGTGGAATCACTGAATGCTTGCTTTTTGTTTACAGTGTAGTCTTCCGGTGTGGCAGCATGGTATTGGGTTTTGTTTTGTTGTTAAAATAATGTTTGCTTTTGTTTCTAATTGTTTCAGTAAGTGCCCTTCTGCCCTTACAGTATTAGAACATACACCACATAAAGTCACACACAGTTTCACTGGGACCAATCAACAAAAACAGAATAAAATGAAGAACATGTATGTGCGGAGTGTGAATGGTGGCCGCCAGCATGAATGAAAAAATGTGTGTGTGTGTGTGTGTGAATCCAAGCAACAATATCTCAAATAAAACACACTTATACAACAGTCTGTCAGCAGATTTTGCCTGCACCTTCTATCAACACTAACCCTCAAGATCTCTCCTTAAAAAACAAAAGAGGGGTGGAGTACAGGTTAACCCCACAGGAACGTGTTGCCAAAGCCTGCTATATATTAAATTTTTAAATCGAATACAAATAATGTAAAACCTCAAGGAAAAGCCCAAATTATAATCAAAAATTTGCAAACAGGCCAGTGGAAAAGACCATTTTCCATCACAACATGAGGAAGAGAGTATGCTTACATTTCTATAGGTTTTAGTTCAAGATAGATGGGTTAAACCAGCATTGCCACAGCTATCCACGTAAAATTGCAGCCTTTCTCCTGCTATGGCATTTTGGACCTGCTTGGTTGGAGAGCCAGCTGACAAATGACAGAGGATAGATCCCTGAAACACCAAGGCACAACACAAGATCCTTCGGTGGAATAAAGGACATTTGGGATGGTTGGGTCCTTTATTTGCCTAATGCAAGGCTTTAACCTTTTTGGGGATCACTTTAAGGGATGAAGGTAAAACAGTCAATTAAATATATGTTGCAGTTAGGACTGGTTTACATGTATATTTTTATATTTTTTATATACTATATTTTTTTAAATGTTTACAATTAAACAAGTGTTCTTAAAACATAAAAAGAGGGGAACTGTGGGATATAAGCAGGTTGAAGGCCTGGAAAGAACCAGACCTTGCAGAGCACAGAGCAACTCATTACAGGGATGAGTTTGTAGCTCCGAAAAACTGCAGTCTCCCCAGGCAACAGCTAGCAGCCAATGGGATGTTGCAGTTACACCTTTTGCCTTATAAGGAATGTTTTCTGTTTGTGTTTGGTTATAAAAGGGCTGCGACCCTTTGAATAAATGTCTCAGTTCTTCACCCCCTTTGCTGAGTCCATGCCTCTTAACGCACTGCATTACAAATGCATGTCTTATTAGACCTACTGACACACTAAGTGGTAGACACCTCCTCTTGCACAGACTTCTTGTTTGCCTAAAATAGATACTAGCCACAGAGGGTACAAACACACACTGTGGTATTTACATAGCAACACTCTTTGTTTTGGTACAGAAAAAAAACAAATAGCAAACCCCACCTAGTTTCTTCCCAGTATGCTTATTTCTTTAACAATGACCACTGCTATAACCTCATCTTGAATACAACTTTGCTACAAAACCCACAAGTACACATTAAGAAACACACCAAGTGTTTTAGGACATTTGATAGTAAAAAGTCTTTCTGAAGCAAAACATTGATGCACATAGTATTCACTTTGTTCCAGCCCAATCAGAACAGTACTAGTCTAGTGAAGTTAAAATCTGATCCAGAAAGCTAAGAATCCTTTTATTTTTGTAAACAGAAGACCCTTCTGCTTGAACACACTGATGGGTAAGGGTGCAAATTGTTTTAAATGAGAAATTCTAAAGCAATGAGTAAAACCTACACATAGAAAGTATTATGCAAGCCACTGTTAAAGAGTCACATGTTCAAGTGAAGCAATTAAAGGGTTTCTTAAACTGTTAGTTAATATGGCTGTTAGTCACTTCATCCTTCTAGCAGTTAAAAGCATATTGAGGAAGTTCTGAGAAGAGCCCTGGCAAAACTGTACCTGTCAGTCTGATCTCTGACACCATGTACTGTATGATATTCCTGGCCCAAGTTTCTACTATGGGAGTAAGATTTCTCTCCACTTCAGTGTAATATGCTGGCCAACTCATAGAAGTGTCCTCCAGTTTGGTAGAAAAATGGAAACGTTTCAGATAAAACAAGTTACTAGTTATAAATGGGGAACAGTTTTGAAACCAAGTAGAACTTAGGTTTTATGGTCCCACAAAACATACATAATTCTTAGAAACTGGAGTTAAAAGTTTTCAAGTGAGAATACAACAGCAATATTAACATGTTGCACTTGGTATAACCCACACTTTTTGTGCAACAGATGAGAGCTGCATTTCTAGATGGTACTAATTACTGGAACTTAAGCTCGAACTTCCAATTATTCTAATGATGAGAGCATTTGAAGTTACATGCTTAGGCATAGTTATAGGTGTATGCTAAGAATACCTTCCAAAACAGGAAAAGTGTTCCTTCCACTCCATCCATACTTTATGTTCCCATCTTCATTTCCATCTGACCACAGTCCTGAGCAATCTGCTCTAGGTGGCTCTGCTCGAGCAGGGGGTTTGGACATGACCATCTCCAGAGGTCCCTTACAACCTCAACCATTCTGTGATTCAACGACAGTCCTCTAACCTCCAATAAGCAGCTCAACAATAAGTACAAAAAATGCATCAACAATGTTGACTGATTTCATCAGCCTGCCAGAGACACTGAGCTGAAAGTAGCTGTTGGACTAGATGCTTTACAGCAAGCCAAAATTCACTTGGTGGAATTATTTCTTAACAACCCTGGAGAAAACTGAAAAAAATTGCCCTGCTGATTTCTTAAGACATAATAAGCCAAGGAAGCTGTTCCACTACTCCTCAGAAACAATACAGTGACAGTGTCACTGCTATCATTAGGAATAGAGGGTACACAAAAGAGCAGACAAGTTAAGCAGCCAGTTTACAGCACCATTTGTTTTGATTTTGTTATTTTGAAGCCAGAAGCATGTTCCACCACACCATACTGTTTGGCGAAATATTTAAGACAGGTTGAATTCTAGCTCCGAGCAGTGTCTTTACTAGTCTGGTTTAGGAAGCAGAAGAGAGAAGTAAAAATAGACTCAATAGACAAGCAGTTCAGAGTGTTCATAGATACAAGATAACAACTGCTGAAGAGCTGGCAGCAATCCAATAAATAAATTAATTGTCTTGCAGCAGGATCACTGGGCCACAAAGGAGACCATCTAAAAATTAAGTTTTGATAGGCCATATTAATTCTTAACCATGTATTTTAGTGAGGCATTTCTTATTCCGTAGTTCAACTTTACACTTGCCAGACTGAATAAAAAGCTCAAAGAAAACTGGAATTCCCCAAGACCCTGTTATCTGAAAGATTATCCAGGAAGATCAAGGCTGAATTTCTAAAAGCAGAAGTTTCTATAGCATGAAAAATTATGTTAGCAATTTCACATGAACCTCTCAGTACTGCATTGAATGATTACTGATTTGAAGAAGATACATTACATACAACTAACTGAACTTTAATGTTCCACAGAAACATTATTTCTTAAGAGATAAGCACATACACAGGCAAATAATTTTTATCATACCAAACATCTGCATGACACTATGCATCTCAAACGCAGAAGATGATATTCTCTTCTTCACTTGCCTGATGAACCAGATTAGTCCAATTTAGGAAAAAAATTCACTGCTAAGCAAAAAACAAGCATAGTTCTATGATATATTAAAAGCTTCACTTTCAATCCAGCTGTTCAAATGACTTCCATAGAAAGGAGCTAGATCTAGTGTCCACTTCAGTAAACATCAAATCAGTACCACAACTGCAGTTCAGCTTTGATTTTGAAGGAGTACATGGAGGAAGGGGAAGGTATTATTCTGCCATGAAGGAGTAGGAAACAGTCACAGGTTGAATTTCAGCTTAACCAGAGAACAAGCACAGCATCAGCAAGCACCTATGCAAGAAGGAAGCCAAGGCACTTAATTTCTAACAAAAAACTACTCAGAGGTTAAACAGATTAGTTTCTATGGACTGTCTAGGCTAGGACATTAGTCAGCAGCAATAGTAGGATTCATTCTATTGAAGAGACAGGGATGCCAAATTTCACTTACCATGAGACTCAGATCCCAACTTCTTAGAAGCCATTTAGAACCTGAAAAACATTTTAAAACAGCTTTAACAACTTTATATATGTAGCACAGCATAAGTCTATGTAGTTCTACACCGTCTTATCTCTAGATTATGGGGCATGTTGCAGACACTTGCTGTTTATCCTGTTCCCAAGAGAGATAAGCAAACTTATTTTATAGCTCTGAGAACTGACTAAGCAGACAAATAACTTAGCCCGGGGTCTGACAATCTAAATGGTAAAATGAAGAAGAAAGGAAAAACAGAGTCAAGAAGCAGATCAGGAAGGCAGAGACTTCCAGATCACAGTGCTCAGAGGCATCTCTGTCCCAGCACCATGGAGCACACCCTGCCTCCCCTGGCATTAAGACTAGCCCTTCCTACTGGAAATACCACACTGATCCTCTCCACTTTAATCCCTGCTGCTCTAAAAAGGGATCCTATCATACTGGGTATGCAGTCAGTTAGCCAGTGTGGCACTTGTCTAGACACACCGGGTAATGCACAATACAGGTGTACAATAAATGATACCATTAGGAAGATATTTTTCGATACACACAAGAAAACAATGCTAACAAGAGGCCTCATTCACTGCCCACAGAATTTTACTAACAACTTAAAATTTGGATGCACATCCTACATGGCCAAGATGTTAAACACAGAAGTACCTAGCCAGCTTTTAACACAGAGCCAGTCTGTCCTGAGAAAGAGCTGCTTTTAAGATAGAATTAGCTGCCTAATTAGCTGTTAGCTAAAATCCTCCTCCAGGATGCTCATGGTGTGTTCAATAACATAACTGGTTCTTTTGCTAGATTAGAAGTACATCACAAGATCTTTCTTAAGACACTACAACATAATTCTTCAAATAACTGATTTTTTAAGTCCTCCTTGCGGCATTATACACGACAAAGAATCAGAGTTGCCCTTTGTTTCTGAAGACCTCCAGCTCATATACTAAAATGCCCAACAGCCATTCTTCAAAAACATGAAATTATCTGGCACACCCCCACCAGCAGCAGACAGCACTCAAAGCAAACCATGAAGCAGATCTAACATTCACACCCATCATTCCCCAATCTTACTCTTAGCCTCACTGTTTCCAACTGCACTGGAGACTGAGACACTGCCTGCAAGCATGTACTATGGTTGCCCATCATTCACTACTATTATAGCAGAGTTGAACTTGGGAGAAGGCCTCTACACACTTTCTTTAATTTCTCCTTTCTTTAATTTCTCCAAGTCTGTCTTTCTTCTAGTTACTACCTCAGACTGAAAAGCAAGTACTCATTTTCTAAAGGATTTTAAAACTTTTGATGAGAGAAAGTAAACTCCTCACTTTGGCAACTCAACTGACAAGGAAGTTTTTTCAATGCAGTACCAGTTATCTACAGGCAATAGAGTTTATGCTGTCTACCTCATTTACCAGAAGCAGTTTACTCCAGACTGTACCTACATAAAGGACATTGAAAATTCAGAGATCATTTTTAGAATAATAATTTATACGTGTTATTGTTTACCTTGGCTGAACGCCAGGTATTCACTGGGCCTGCGCCCAACCTCCCTCCAGAGGGAAAGGGGAGGAGGAAAGGGGGAGAAGAAGGGAAAAAAACCTACTAAAACGAAACTGCCAAGAAAAGCAGTTTTATATGTACACAGAGAGGAAAAAAAATTATAAACACTACACACACAGAGAAAAACTAACAACAAAGACTGCTCCCCACAATGAACGCTCTTCTCCCCCGAAGAAGCAGCCCGTCCGCCACTGCACAGCTACCCGGAAGAGAAGAAGGACCTTACTTCCTTCCCGTCTTTTATATCTGAGCTGATGTAACAGAGTATGGAATATCTTATTGGTAAAATATACATCAGGTGATCTATCCTAGTTCCATTTCCCTCTCAGAGAGGGTAACAAACCCATTACAATACCCCATCTCCAGCAGGTCATTGCAAGGACATACTAAGTTTACCATCTCACAATATTGGGTAATTGAACATTAGGTTACTGTGACACTATCAATTTGTTCCAGGACACTAGTAGCAATGCATAAAAATCCTGCAAAACTAAAGATGTGCACATCTAGCATCCATGGAGGTTTTCAGTAGTATATCAATCTAGAGTTGCATAAAGCCTTGGATGCATCCTTAGTGTCAAAACATCTCACATAAGTAATAAGTATCTTGTTTTTGTTGGCAATCTTGTAGTAAAATCCTCATGCAGACCAGGCACCTGCATTAAGTTCAAGGCAGAGGGGGAAAAATGATTGCCATTTGCAACACCTTATTTTAACTACACAACTAGCTAAGGCACATCAATAGCAAACTAATCATGAAATGCACCATTTCCAGAGAGACAGTCACACTGTAGATTCAGGTAGCATTTGATTTTATATCACACTTGCTCTTCCTGATTCACTATGAGTGTGCACTTATTAAGATACCATTACTGCAGAAGGCACTGTCAGAATTGTTAAGCACTGCACACAGTAATACTAGAACAGGCTGCCAGCTACATTTCATCACCCCCTTTCCAAAAAACTTTTAATTAAAATAGTAGCTTGCAACTAATCAGATTTGATAGGCTATTCAGGGACCACTGTTACAAGCATCTTGCTGTTGCTCTGTCTTGCTGGTTTGAAAAGAAAATAATTTGCAGTCAGTTAGAAAGTTACTGATGTTGCTACTATGCTTCTGGGCCTGAACTATATTTGCTTTAATCAAAGCGGTAACACTGTGCAGTAAAGGTTTGTTTACCTTTGTTACTGTTCTTTTAGAAATTTAAAGGACTTGGTCCCAAAGCCTTGCTCCAAACCAGCTAATGGACAGCTGCAGCACTATCACTGTTGCCTTTGTTATCCAGACTCCAGAACAGGATACTGAAGAGCATCGGTGGGAACGGTACATAGGGGAACAAATTTTGGTCTGATGCTTTACTGCATGTTTTAAATTGACAAAGAACACAAAACATTTTTTTTGGGCTAGGGAAACAAGTTAGTTGCATGGTACTATGTGGGGAAAGGGTTAACATTATACAGGAACATGTCCCACGGAAGCATGGGAAGTGTAGTCTTTTTGTCACGCCTCTGGAGAAAGACTCTATGGAGCATGCCCACTATAAGAACTCACTAAGGAGTGTGGGAAATACCACATGATGTCACAGGAGGTATATAAGGGCTTGTTAGCGTGCGAATAAATGATTTTACAGCTGCACATGCATCTGTTTGGTCCGTGAACCCAAATGCTACAAATGGCGACTCTGAATCAGGGACTATCAACAGGCATCGGTAACCAGAAGCACTAGGCTTTGGGACGTCTGCCGTAGCATCCTCCTGGCAGAAATCAAAGGAAAAGTGGAGAGCTCTTCAAAACATATCGCGCACACCAGTCACCTCTGGAAGGATAGGACAAAAGGAACAAGGACTGAAAAGGAATTGAAGAAAAAAGAAAAAAAATCAGCATTCAGTAGCCAGAGGTGAGCTACCAGAACAAGAGGGAGGTATTCCCAAGAAATGAAAGAAAATGCTGAAGCCATTCGCCAGTTTTTTAAAATGCAGAAAAAAGATGTAAGAGAAAATAAACTGCTGGCACTTTTAAATTGGATTGCCATATATGAACCGGGACTTCCGCTAACTGAAACCCATCAAATGCAATCTTGGCAAAGAATTGGAAACAGACTATTCAATAGAGTGAGTTCTGGAGACATGGAGGTGTTTACAAACCTAGCTGCCTGGAAAGAAATAATGAACGCCTTAAAGGTTCACAGCAGACAAGCAAATCCAGCCGCAGCAATGAACCCCACTTCCCCTCTCCCTCCTGCAGCCCCTGCCTCCCCCCTTGGGTTTCCTCAGAGACATTGTGCGGAAATGGAGGTGTGGGAGGTTCCTCACAACAGGGAGAGGAAAGGGGATGGGAGGGAGATTGCAGAAGGATCGGCGTGGCACCAGTCTCCTGCTGCCAACAAAGGGAGGAAAATGGCGTGGTGGTACCACATGGTGTGGGGGCGCATGGAGCAGGGCCTGCGGCAGGGGGTCCACTTGCCATGTTAGCTGAGGCCCCTGCGGCGTTACTCGCCACAGTCACCAGGGTTGGCATGGCTTCATTCACCGAGGCCTCTGCAGTGCCACTTCCTGGGGCCCCCACAGTGCCACTCGCCACGCTTGTTGGAGCCAGTGCGGCTCCGCTCAGTGCAGCGACGGACGTCACGCTGCTTGGTTACCGGTGCGTGGCTAATGAGGAGCTGCTACCTTGCCTGTATTGCGTGGTCATTACGGAGGAGAAACCGATGAGCTCCTGCCATGAGATAGGAGAGGAACCGCAGGTCCGTTTCGGCTACATGGTCGCTGCAGAGCTGCTGTAGGACAGCCATGTGGCTGCGAGATGGGTGCAGTCATCTTGCTCCCGCCATGGGGTGGAAGTAGAGCTCTCCCTTCTGCCAATTGTGCAACCGGCACACAGCAGCCACGTGGCAAGATGGGCGCAGCCATCTTGTTCCTGCCACGGGGCAGAAGCGGAGCGTCCCCTTCCGCCCCCGCCAATTGCACAACCAACATGTGGGAGCCGTGTGGTAACAAGGGCACCGCCATGTTGCTCCCGCCGTGGGACGGAAGTGGAGCTCTCCCTTCCGCCGCCGCCATGTTCTAGTATGCCTCCGTATGAGGAGGGAGATGAGTATGATGAGCAAATAGACAGCAAATTTATGGAGGATGCAGAAGGGGAATTGGTTATGCAGTCGTGTGGTGGTGCTTCCATAGGCATGTGGGAGAAATGTCAGGAAGAAGCGTTACACGTGGGCTATTGGAAAGTAGTGAATGCATGCCCTGTCATTTATTGGTCCCGGCAAGCCCTTCATTTCCAAAGTGTACCGTATGATGTTGTTAAGGAACTGAGGCAGATAGTTAAAGAGAGTGGTGTTTCCTCGCCCCACATGTTTTCGTTCCTGGAGACCCTAAGTAGCACATATGTGTTTACACCCCATGACTGGAAGGCACTGCTAAAAATGGTATTAATAACTTGTAGTGGGT